CAAATCGATAATCTAGAGAAATTGATGGTTTTTTTTCTGTAGCCGAAGGATTATCGACTTCATCTTGTTCTTCGACATATATGTGAGATATGTTGGTGATTTTGGTGACAAACGACCTGGAGGCACATACTGCTGTTTGATGCATTCAGTCATTTTTGTAATATGTTTATAATGGAGCCTCCTGAACCCGAGTCGACTTGGACGTCCGGATCGCCGCGAACCGCCAACGCCTGGCTCTGCCCGTCCGCGTAACTCCACGGCTTTGTTCCGCGCGGCTCGACCCGCGCTCTCTCTCCGCCTGGGCAGCACCGTTTCGTCTCTCGCCGTCCCGTGTTCTCGACGTTGCGCGCGTGCGCGGACGTTCCGTTGTCGCGTCGCACAGAGCCTCGGTTCAAGGTCACCACCCCGGTTTTTTATTCGCGTAGAGGCACCGAGGACGATCACACCGCGTACAAGCGCATTAAGATGGCCGCTCTTATGCTTCTCTCTGCAGTATCATCCGCAGGACATGGTAGTCCACGAGGTTGCCGAACCAGGCAAGATCTTGCGCGGCGCTGTCGAGATGGAGCCTGCTACGTTCCATAATTTGTTTACAGATGCGCCAAACTTTACCACGAATCTTACTAATCCGTCGATAATAAACGTCGAGCTGTAGATAACAGGAGTCCACGAGCCTCGCGAGATCGTCGAGATCTCGCGTGGCGCGGCGGAGCGCGAGACGGTAGCGCCTTGATCTATGCGACGAAATTTTCATAATCTTTCGACAAATACGTCTCTCTATTTCTTTATAGCGAGTGAAATTACGATAAGCGACGAGTTGCCGTCTACGGTAGTTCACGAGCCTCATGAGATCGCCGAGCTCTCGCGTGGCGCGGTGGAGCGCGCGTCGATAGCGCCTGCTATGTGACGGACTATTCATAATCTTTTTACAGATGCTTTTCTTTATTCCTATATAACAAGTGAAATAAGACAAGCGTCGAGTTGCAGGCTACGGTAGTCCACGAGCCTCGCGAGATCGTCGAGATCGCGCGATGAAGTGCGTGACGACGGTGCCTGCTACCCGCCGAACTTTTCATACTCTCTCTATATAACGAGTGAAGTTACGACAAGCGTCGAGTTGCAGGCTATGGTCCATATATATAGATAGTCCATACATATATATATATATATGTATATATATATATATATATATATAGTGTCATATATACATATAGATATAGTGAGGCGCATATCTGGCTATACAGTCCCAGACAACTTACTGATAAATATGAAATTGGTGATATTCTAGACTTTTATAGGTTAGATACGCACCATATCGTGCTCGTATCGTGTAAAGGACTTAAATAGTGCAAACAGTTAATATGATATTTGACACTACAAATAGAACATATTTGTATATTTTACAGTTTTATGATATTGTCGGCAAAAAACTTTCGGACTTGAATTTCACGTTTTGTTGTTTATGTGATATAATATATTATATTATGAATACTTCATGTGGTATATAATACAGAGTGGTCCAGACTTAAATCGAATATTTCACTTGTTTATGATACGAAAAAATAGTTTAGATAAAAGTGATTTTCACTCAATTTTCGAACTTTTTTGTGTTTTCGTATCAGTTATACAGGGTCATTTTAATCGACGGATCCAAATATCTGCTAAAATACGCAAGCTACAAAAAAATGTTTCAGACAAAAGTTTTCGGACTTCGAGGAGGACATAAGATGATAACATTGATTTGACCCTGAATGGCGTCGTCAAGGTCAGGACAAGGTCTTTGAATTTTTTAAATGGAACCCCCAATTTTTCATTACATGTTCTTATAGCATGCCTCGAGAACTTTCCAAAACACATAAATAAAATATTTTTTTATAAAATAAATCTTGAGTTATGAAGCTTGAAAGTTGGAGTACTGTCGGCATTAGCATCATCCAAGGTGTCCAAACACTAGCTAAAACCTTTAGAATGTTGTTTAGGATTATAACATTGATAAAGGTCAACGACCTTGACCATCTTTAACTAGTGTTTGGACACCTTGGATGATGCTAATGCCTCCAACTTTCAAGCTTTATAACTCAAGATTTATTTCATAAAAAAATATTTTATTTATGTGTTTTGGAAAGTTCTCGAGTCATGCTATAAGAACATGTAATGAAAAATTGGGGGTTCTGTTTAAAAAATTCAAAGTGACCTTGTCCTGACCTTGACGACGCCACTCAGGGTCAAACCAATGTTATCATATCTTATGTCCCCCTCGAAGTCCGAAAACTTTTGTCTGAAATATTTTTTTGTAGGTTGCGTATTTTAGCAGATATTTGGTTCCGTCGATTAAAATAACTCACCCCCAGTGAGAAATGGTTTTTAATTCGACGTCAAATCGATATCGAATTGATGTCGAAATCATCACATCGACGTCAATTCGACATTAATTCGATATCGAATTGGCGATCATTTCTCATTGGGCCCTGTA